GCAGTATAGTTTTAATCTCTCCCCTTCTTTTTTTCATGAACAGTGAGTTCATCATGAGAAGAGCTTGTGTTTGCTATCTATTATTTGTGATTTACATTGAATACCTTCTTGTCCTATAAACGTTCTCCAGCTCCCTCACGCTTCCCATCGACGCTTGGTAGGCGAGCGAGCTCTGCATCTTTTTGCACTTCATGCAACTACGCTATGAGGCCGTGAATAATTCTCAGCACAGCGTCGGCAAAGGTTTCGGAACGTCACGCGGTGACTTAACCATGCCTCCTATTAACCACGGATCCACGCGAACAATGTCGCTCTCATCGAAGTTCTTTTCCCACATGTGAACATTCGGGGAAACAAATGTGAAGCGACCATTTCTTGTTGCAGCGTTTCACACTTCCACTTTTCCCGCCGATCTCTGTAGGCAGCGAGAACTTGGAGACTTTTTTTGTCTTTTTCTTTTATAACTGAATCGACAACCAGGTACCGAGCACCTATGCAGTATCCTACCCCATCTTAAGGCACAGCATACCAGCCACAATAGTAATAATAGGTGAAAAACTACACGATGGCACAGCATGATATTATGAATGGACCTCATAGCGGCACCAGCAGCCAGGTTCTCTCTGGTCCACCCGATGCCTCGTGGCCCCTACTCCCAGCACATAACTCTCTCCCATAGGGTTACGGTGAAGCTTCTCGACCAGTAAAGTATTGAAGGACTCTGATAATATCTCAGGTTTAGGTCCCAAAGCAGAATATAATCATGAATGATGTCCCGGTGCAAATCTTCTCCAGCTCATTGCAGCTGTAAAGGCAGTATTTGCACCATATGCCCTTCGCACTTTTTTTATCCTGTGAAATTAAGGAAGAAGTGTAAAACTACATATGGCCCCCTCGTTACTGTTAATTAATGCATCCATGTGATGTAACACAGTGGGCTTCTTTAGACGTTCACCGAGAGTGGATACTGCAAAATGAGTATAACCTACATCTACTGGATTGTGACCACTGTGTCAAGCCTGACCTTCATTTGTGTACAGACTGTAAATTGTATGGCGCCAAAAATTTTATGGCACCAAGCAGTGCGTGTGACGCCCCAATCACCTATAAATATTTAAAGGGACCATATTTCAAAATAGTGGTCATTACCACAGTTCCAGAGAGCGCATTATGATAAAGCTGACATTATTTATTGCTTTGACACCATTTTAAAATGAATGACAGTTTTGAAACTAAAAATATCTCCACAAAAAGTTCTTTTGCAATTGTTTTCTAGTTCTTGGATCATCATGCTGCACTGTGCAATTTTCGATTCATGTCGCATTCCAAGCTGTTTTTTTGCGTGAACAATGATGAGACGTGTTTCTGCCTCGGAATGAATGTAGTAAAGCATTACAACAGGGAAATTATGAGCATCTTTTAAGCGTTAAAGTGAATGACCTTGAGTAAGAACACCCAAGAAGCCGATATGCAATGAAAGAAATGAAAAAAAAAACTAAGGAAGTTCTTCCAATCAGAACTCAAAAATTACATAATAAAAAACAAAACTACTAACAAAATTTTTGTGCCATCACTTTTTCGAGGAAGTGAAGAACCATAGTTTTAGTGAAAAAAAATTGACAATATACACACCAATGAAACGGTGTGTGTTTCTGTTGTGTATTTGTAGCATGTTTTTTCAATATGATTGGTTTCAAGCCACTTGATACAATGCAGATATGCTACTGTTAATTTCTGGGATGTTAAACACAACAAATCTGCATCACTGGGTATGTCTGAATCATTACATTAAAAAAAGTGTAGCCTGGCTGGAAGATTTGAGCAACGCATCTCCATCCTCACAGTGATTTCTGGACTAGACAAGTTTATATTCTGGTATACGTTTACCGTAATGCAACAGACTGGTGCCAGGAAAATGGGAATAGGAGTAATGTATTAGCTCTGTGTTGCACTTGGCCTTTGTGACAAAAATTATACGGCTTTGAAGATCCGTGCGCAAAAGATGAACAAGCACTGTATGCCTCAGGAAGCACTACTCAGCATGTCTATTTGCACGAAATAAATTTTTGCCAAAGGTATCAGCGCTGACATAAGTGTTTCCAAGTATTACAAGCATTTAACAACTATAGGACAATGTTCACAGCCATGCATACCATTCAATCAAAGCAACAATGAAAACAAGGATTACCTACAAGCCTGATTAGTTCACGATGAGAAGTGCTACGAAGGTAGCTAGAGTGTGTAATCGCACTTCTGTATAGCCCGAAACTGCTGTAGCATTCTAAAAAAAGAGCAGTGTGAAAGCACCATCTTACTTTCAATATGTAAAACCACTTCAAAATGGTGCTTCAGGAAGTTCAGACATGTTGAAATGAGAACAGCATAAAAGAATTCAATATTGTACTAAACATCACAAACCATGGCATCACTGGCTTAGCAAGAAGCTGGATTTTGAACTCCCTCAAAAATTACGTGCTCTAAGTGTATATAAGCACGCACACGAATGCTGCCCAAACATGTGGAATAAGGCTGGAGCACAACCTATCAAAAAAATTTCTGACTATGCCCTTGTATGGTATGTAGCATGCACATGTTATTCTGTGCTACCTTCATTATGATGCTATAGCAATAACACAAATCTCTGCTGTACCAGGGTGCTTACATGAATGGCTAAAGCGACAGCCAAATTGCCTGAATGCAGTGCCATTACATTTGTAATCTATCATTTGTGATTTGCTTTGAAGACCTTATTGTCCTGTAAACGTTCTTACGCTCCCTGAAGCTTCCCAGCGATGCTTGGTAGGCGAGCGAGCTCTGCATCTTTTTGCATTACATACAATACCGCGTGAGACCGTGAAATCTTCTCGGCACAGCGTGGGCAAAAGTTTTGGAACGTGCGTGGTGACTTGACCCTGCCTCCGATTGACCACTTGTCCACGCGAACAATGCCACTCTCATCGAAGCACTTTTCCCACAGGTGCACATTTTGGGAACAAATGTGAAACGACCAGTTTCTTGTTGCAGCCTTTCACACTACCACTTTTCCCACCAATCACTGTAGGCAGCGAGAACTCCGAGACTTTTTCGTCTTTTGTTGTTGTAACCGGATCGACAAACAGGTACCCAGCAGCTATGCAGTATCCTACCCCATCTTCAGGCACAGCACCCTAGCCACAATAGTAATCATTGGGTGAAAAACTACGCGATGGAACACCACGATATTATGCATTGACCCCATAGCAACGTCAGCATACAGGTTCTCTCTGGTCTGCCTGAGGCCTCGGGGCTTCCAATCCCAGCGCACAGAGCTCTTCCATAGGGTTAGGGCTAAACTTCATGACCAGTAAAAGTATGGAAGGACTCTGGTAACATCTCAGGTTTAGGTCCCAAAGCACAATATAATTATGAATGACATAAGGTGCAAACCTACTCCAGCTCATCACAACTGTAAAGCAAGCATGTGCAAGGCAGCATTTGTAAAGGCAGTTAGAGTGGCTACAGCAAATTGAAGGATACCTATATCTATTGCATGCGTGACGACTGCGTCAAGGCTGACTTTCATTTGTGTACAGACTGTAAACTGTATGGCACCAAGCAGTGCGTGTTGCTGACACCCAAAAAGCCTATAAATAATTAAAGGACCATATTTTAAAATAGTGAGCATTACTGCAGTTCCAGAGAATGCATTCTGATAAAGCCGACATTATTCAATGTTTTGATACCAGTTTAAAATGATGACAGTTTTAAAATTAAAAATAGCCCCACAAAGAGTTCTTTTGCAATTGTTTTCTAGTTCTTAGATCATCATGCTGCATTGTGCAATTTTCGAATTATGTCACATTCCAAGCTGTTAGTTTTTTTCATGAACAATGGTGAGACGTGTTCCTGCCTCGGAAATGAATGTAGTAAAGCAACACAAAAGAGAAATTAGGAGCATTTTTAAGGGTTAAAGTAAATGACCTTAAGTAAGAACACCCAAGAAGCCAATATGAAATGAAAGAAATGAAAAAACTAAGGAAATTGTTCTAATCAGAACTCAAAATATACATAATAAAACAAAATGACTAACAAACTTTGTTTGCCATCACTTTTTCAGGGAACTGTATAACCATAGTTCCAGTGAGAAAGAATTGACAGGTCACACACCAATGAAACGTTGTGTGTTTCTGTTGTGTATTTGTAGCATGTTTTCTCGGTATGGATTGGTTTAAGGCAACTAAAAACAATACAGATATGCTATTGTTAATTTCTGGGTTGTCTAACATCACAAATCTGTATCCCTTAGTATGTGTGAATCATTACATTAACAAAAAGTGTAGCCTCGCTGGAAGGTGCGAGTAACGCATCTCCATCCTCGTGGTGATTTCTGCACTAGACAAGTTTATAATATGGGATACGTTTACCATGATGCAACAGACTAGTACCAGGCGAATGGCAATAGGAGTAATGTAATAGTTCTGTGTTGCACTTGGCCCTAGTGACAAAAACCATACTATTTCCGATGGAGGCGGAAGTGTTGTACACCCGTGTGCTCAGATTTGGGTGCACGTCAAGGAACCCCAGGTGATCGAAATTTCCGGACCCCTCCACTACGGCGTCTCTCATAATCATATGGTGGTTTTGGGATGTTAAACCTCACATATCTATCTAACAAACATCATACGGCTTTGAAGATCCGTGAACAAAAGATCAACAGGCACTGTATGCTTCAGGAAGCACTACTACTCTGCATGTCTATCTGCACAAAATAAATTTTTGCCAAAGGTATCTGTGCTGGCATAAGGTGTTGCCGGGTACTACAAGTATTTAACTATAAGACAATGTTCACAGCCATACATAACATTGAATCAAAACAACAACGAAAAGAAAACTTAGCTGCAAGCCTGAGTGGTTCATGATGAGATGTGCTACGAAGGCACCTAGAGTGTGTAATCGCACTTCTGTATAGCATGAAGCTGCTGTAGCATTCTAAAAATAGAGCAGTGTGAAAGCACCAACTTACTTTCATTACGTAGGACCCCTTCGAAATGGTGCTTCAGGGAAGTTCAGACATGTTGAAATAAGAACAGCATAAAATAATTCAATATTGCAATAAACATTAAGACCCATGGCATCATTGGCTTAGCAATAAGTTGGATTTCGAACTCCTTCAAAAATTAAGCGCTCTAGATATATGTAAACATGCACACAAATGCTGCACAAATATGTGAGATAAGGCTGGAGCAGAATTTATAAAAAAATTACGACTATGCCTCTACACGGTATGAAACATGTATTATGTTTTTCTGTGCTAGTTCATTATGATGCTGTAACAATAACGCAAATCTCTACTTTAACAGGGTGCTTACATGAATGGCTAAAGTGACAGCCAAATTGTCTGAATGCAATGCCATAACTAAAAATGAAAATTGGCATAATGCATGTTACCCAGGGTCACATGACCAAAACAACACTCTTGTCATGTTTCGGTGTCTCATATAGGTTGCTTTTGTGGATTAAACTACACTTGAGTCAAAGACAAATTTTAGCATCTTCCAAACTAAATGCATTTGAAATCTTATAGCGATTTGTGGAATATATCTTTAATGGATTCAAGGAAATTCTTATGGTACATAAGCACTCCACGTTTCTTAAGCTGACGAAACCTCACCACGTGAGAAAGCACACATAAATTGCAAATGCTTATTCAGCGGAAATAATGTCAGAAATGTTTCCAATAAAGCCTGTGACTTACCTGCATTAATACATAACTCATGTTCGCACCAGCATTGGCTGCATGTAGACATCACCAGGTTCACCAGGCCAGGAGGAGGCTGCAACGATTTGTTCGTTAGAGCATTGCCAATAATTTTTTCTGGTTTCTTGCCAATGAATTCTGGTAAAAAACACTTTCAGAGAAAGTTGTGCAACAAGGCTGTTGCCAGACAACTCGAAGCTTAGGCCAAGCAGGCGTCGTTTCATGAAATGTAACACTATATAAATGACACAAACAAATTCAGTTAACCTAGCTGACCATGGCAGTAATGCACTATGCACTGATTCATTTAAACTTTCGAAAATACCAGCAAGAAAAGTATAATATTTCAGTAATAATAAAAAACATCACCATCAGCCACATGCTATAATGGGCCTTCGACGAGTAGTTATCTAAAAAACGTGAATGTTATCTGAACCGAAGCTTCATGGTTTATGCAATTATTGTTGAATGCTCTGACATGGATTCCATTGATTGAATTTTTGTGGTCTACATGTGTTACAGCCAACAAGCTCAGCATGCCAGTGTTGCACAGTGCATGCCAGTGAATTAACGCTACTTCTCCGGGCAGTTGGCACATTTATACAATCGGTTGACCAGCGGCATGGTACAGATGAGCAAACAAGAATTCGATGACACTTACTCCTCATCTGTGACAAGCTGCATGTCAACCAAACAAGCCACGCAAGTGCTATATTATCTATTTTAGAAGCAGGATGGCTTATTGCTTTGTTTAGTCACATACACAATAAGCGAATATATTTATCGCATTCTTTATCCCCGTGAAAATTAAAATTTATGGGACCGTAATACGGCCTGAGCTATAGTTAGTGGTTACAATAATAGTGCCACTTTATGATACTTGCCGGGGTCAGGAAAAACTGCTGTCCACCTTTAGTTCCACCTGTTGAGCACGAATACCCTACAAATGGTTCTGCATAAATGTCTATAGTAAAACATAGTGATGAGCGCTTACTACAGCTATACAGTTGGGCAAATTAGGAAGCAAGTAATGCCATCAGATAAAGACAGATGTTCAACTCAAAGTAAAATGAGCTCAAGGTAAACGTCCCAAAGCCACGTTTTGTTTAAGAGAGACGCTGTAGTGGGGGATTCGGAAATATCGATTTGGTGTTATGCACAATGCGCAAAGCACGGACCTGTGGCATTTTACTTTTAATGAAATGTGACCGCCCCTGCCGGGATGGAACCCGCGATCTTCCGGTGAGCAGCAAGCACCAAAACCCCTTCTCCACCACAGCGGAGAGCAAATTCTGCCGAGAGTACGGCTTACATTTGGTCAACATGCACGAAGGTCCGAATTCGGCACTTCAATTTGTACTAACACAGTGTAATGCCGAAAAAAAAATTTATTTTAGCAAATGTTCTGCGCTTGCTATAGCTGGAAAGACAAAAATGTCCGAGTGATCTTCTGAAGCTTTCGCAGGTCACGTTACTCAATAACGCACAAAATGCACGCCTAAATAAAAAAATAGCGTAGATCAGTTCGTGTGCGGGAAATAACTGAGTGAACTTTATAAAACTACCGATCGCAGTCTTTAAAAACGTCGCGCGCGAGCACAGTGTACACAACTACAACAGCATGCAGTACAAACACGTTATGCGATCTCCTTAGGCGACAACTACTATTACAATAAGAACAGCTCACAACGTATGAAGCGTGACCATCAAAATTACTACTGGCAAGAAAGCACGCTGTCGGCTGACATCCAATGTTCAAGCGATGCGCCGAGTAAGGAACGGCCACCGATCCCCGTTCACCACATCGCGTGTCAAAGCATTTTGCTGGGCCACAGAGAGCGTCGTCGAGAAAGGATTGCGGCGCTGCTACTCACTGATGCGTGAGGCGGCTCGATGGCAGCGTGGCTTTGAAGAACGCTGTCATTGATGTGCGGCGATATTTCAAGGGGACACATTTCACGTCCGTCGATGACACTGAACAAAGGAGTCGCAGAGGACGGTGTCGCAGTCAGTATTTGACGACTAGTTGCCTGGCACAATTAATCACACTAGCTAAGAACTTGTGCTTACGTCAGTAACTGCAACACACAGCACGCAACGCGATGCAGGGCAGTAAAAGTCAATGACACGAAGAAAACTACCCCACGAAATTATCACATATTCTTAAAGCCGCCAGACTAAGTGAAAAAAAAAAAAAAAAAACAGGGTCACGCCGATTGAGGCGCCAACACCCACTCAGTTCGGTATCTAGTTCTCGTCTAAAAGTGTTATTTGTGTTGCTAGAAATACTTAAACACGCGTTAAAACCACGTCATTCGCAAATGCAGTATCCTCTATGCTTGTCCTATATATCTGTCAGTGAAATTGACCATAACTTATTAATAATTAAGCAAACTCTCTGGAACAGTTTGTGAAGTTGTTCAGGTGACGTTGCCTTTGACTGGTGATCACAGGCAAGCCTATAGAGTTCCCTTAAATAATAGGGGTGGGGTTAAAGGGACAGTGAAGGTAGATCCATCACAGTGTCCCCCTTACTATTAAGTCGATAAAAATGGTAGACTTTGTGCCACATTCGCCTTCAGCCCTCCACGCACGGCGATGCTTGTGATATGATAACGCACATCATGAATTCACGAACGTTTTTTTTTCTGCACCCCTGCAGCCTTACTATATTTCCTAATACATCTCCCTTGTTGTTTGAAGTGAAAGCTACCGCTTCTGATAATATAGCTGCAAAGCCAATGTTTTTAAACAAAATTAAGCGAGTATGTCATAAATCATGTGGTTTATTACTGCACGCTTGTTACCAGTCGACGCGTTGTGCTCTATCGCACGACGTTTGCATTGTGTTTCCATAACGTGTAAACGCGTGATACGAAATTCAAATGACCATGGTTGCTTTTTCGAGTGTTGTATGCGGTGTTCAAATGACACGAAAACGTGTTCATCTCGGTTTACGTGTCGTCCACGTAGCAAATGTACTGTTCAAAGTCACTGGATATTTAGGGCACGTTCCTTAGGTTCATGCGAGATCACCGTTCGTGCAACGTGATCAGGAAGTCGTGAGATAGCTATAGGCGGCACTAACTTAGAAGAAGTGTGTCCGCGGTGAAGTACGGGCAAATGGCATAGGTCTGCCGTTTTGCCATTTCACTAATGTTGCCACGCACAGGAGGCGCCCCTCTACATAGTTACCTTTACATAATTTTACAACGTCAATATAATTATTTTATGACGTTAGAAAGCTCTGAGATCGTACTATGGGAATACTAAAGGTAACAGCACAATTAATGTGAATACGTTTCGCGACGTTTAGGACTGAAATTCGCTGGTATTTTATAGTCGTCACTCGGATTACACGTGAAGCTTGGTCCCGTATTTACTAATAACCTTTTTCATCGCGAATAATGCAGCCCTGAATAAAATAAATTGCAGGTAGAGTTAAATAAAAGAGACCTTTAAAAATCCACCTTAGGGCGTTTTAAGGGCGTCAAACGAAGGAAGTCCTTGTCAGTGTAAGCATAGTATTAGTAAAGGCGTGGTATGACAGCCATGGGAGCGAAGCTATACGCACTCTTTTATTCTTGAATCGGTGCACACGTCATCCACGTAGCAAATGTACAGTGTCGATTTATAAAAGGGACATGGGAGCGCGCAGCCTGCAAGCTCCGGCGGCTGCTGGCAGTGCGTTCAAGCGGGAGCGCGAACAACCACAGTCCCTTTTCGCGTCATCTCGTGGCTAGCAAAGCAACCATGCGTTGCTGATATGGAACCAGCAGCAAGATGCGACCCCCTTCCCTCCAAGGCGATTACGCTAGAGCTGTAATCGCCTAGAAGGGGAGGGTTCGCTAGCTTGCCGTTCTAATAAATGCAACGAATGGTTGTCCTTGCTCTCCGCGAGATGACGCTAAAAGAGACTTTGGTTGCGATCGCTCCCACTTGAACACTCTGCCAGCAGCCGCCGGAGCACGCACGCCACGCGTTGCCGTGTTCCCGTTCATAAAAACTGACACTCACTGTTCAAAAATACTGGATTTTCAGGCGCGTTCCTAAGTTCATGCGAGATGAGGGTTGGGCAACGAATAAGCATAACATATTCCCCCAAAAACGTTCAATAGGCTGTACATTTAGACGGCCAAAAAAGAGCACGGCTAGTATTCGACAGGAAGGTTTCGTGTTGCTGACTTTGTTGACTAAACTTTTTTTTTGCCTCACACTAGCTGTCAGAATAACATGATTTCATGTACCATGAAGCTACTTTACAGGACCCGTTTTCTTAATTTGTCTAAAGGCAGCTGTTGTGGATTAATTCTTCAAACGTACGCCATAAGGACCTGAGGAAGTAATAATAGATGATGTGATCTATGGAATATATCTTTTGATTGCGCCAGCGCATCGTAATTGATGGTGCACATCAGACGACCCAGTGCGTTCGCGTTAGATTAAGTCACTTGTACGTGTGGAGGCACAGCAATCTGGATCAATGGGCATCATCCGTTTCGCGCAGTTTGGTCAAGCGTGTAAGCGACGCAAAATCTCATTTTAAAATGTTCACTTCTCGCTGTATGTTTTATGCCGATTGGTTAGGTTGGTTGTTTCTGTAGCACGATCGCTCATTGGTTCAGAAGCAAACTTTTCCTACTTCCATTTTCATTGAGGAGAAATACCTGTAGGTGCGTGCTGACAACTACTGCGCAAAGTACTACAAGGAACAAAGAGGACGAGCGCAGCGACCAAATATCAAACGTCGACGAAGAAACCGCTCAGAACTGTGGTAACGAAAGCTGAGACTTCGAAGCTAAGGAAAGGGCGCAAGACAAAACTATTGACAAGGACCTGGCTACACTCACTACCGAGATCTCCTTGACGCAGAAGATGATAGGCTAACTTGAGCAGTGTAAGCGCAGGCTATGCAATCTATGCTCATACGGTCCGAAAACACGCTGATGTAGCTGCAGCACAAGATACGAGAGACAGAGATAGAGATAGAACTTGAGGTCTACGGGTGCATCCAAAGACACAGGCGAGAAAGTTCGAAAGATCAGGACTTACATTAAGTCAAAGCTGAACCATCTTCAAGGCCAGCTCAAGAAGATGCAGTCAGCCGAACATGAGCATCCCAAGCTCATGAAGAACGAGAGCCAGTATGAGCAGTATAAGCGCAAACAAGAAGTGGCGAAAAAAGTGTTCAACACCGCAAACGACTGGAGAGGATGGAAGACACGAGAACAGAGCGCTGAACTAACAACCGAAGTTTATTGCAAACCAAGTGCAAAATATAGAAAAACAGAATCTGCGCATAACCGAATCTGCCTAAAGGCAGCTCTAACTCACTCTTGTCACCACCTGATAGAATGTAGTTTTTCACACCAAGTTCTTTGCTTTCAACAAGCAAGTTTTGCATATCCCCTGATAACTTCTATCGCCGAGACTCTCCTTATGTCACTATATAAGAGTACCTGTTAGGGGAAAGCAACAGCCTACTCAACAAGCCACATTCCAACACGGCTTTTATTCCCTACGTACACGAGGCTTCCCATAGGCTAAAGAAGGTCGCTGGCGAAATAGGTGTACGAGTTGTGTTCTGCGCACGCGACAAGCTCGCTGGGCTATGTCGCAGAGTCAACTGTGAATGACTTGTAAAAAAGAAGCATGCTCTCAGAAACACGCTACGCGCTTTGTTGAACGTGTCTTAGCGATTGTATTCAAGATATTGCTTACATGCGGGCTCTGTTACATTTGCCAAACAGGCCTATGCATTAATGATCAGTTGAGGGAGCAAGCTAACTCTTTAAAAGGCTCCGTTCCCAGCCACTTGGCGGAGCATTGTGAAAAGTGCGGCTGAAAAGTCCCCATGATGATCGAATGTTCAGGCGTCTGATGCCAATGTGTGCTTGCACCACGAACTATTACGGCAATATTTCCTGTTGTATTAGGAAGCATGAAAGGTACTTCCACCGCATTTCCAAGTAGGGGAAGAAGTTATGTCCACTGTATTCACAAACAGAGGCGTGCTGGCAGGTACAACACCCGCTTGCCGCGCATACGACCCGCGTGCGATCCTCATTCATACCCAGAATTTTTAAAACTTAATTTTATCATTCCTGATTTTTTAGGTCATGCAAGGATGACAATTTTACGCTGACAACCAACGACACCGACGCCAATGATGGAGTTTTCGCGAAACGAGCTCTTTAACGCTGTCGGGATAATATAGTCGCCTAACAACGGCCAGTATATTCACAGCACTATTGAGTATATTAGGGTAGGAATACTCCTGATGGTACTATTGATTGCAGTGTCCATAATACCGATTTCTTATCGATGGTAATATACGATGGTTTCGAAAAAAAAAGCTATTTATATATCGATTATCCACTTGGTAATAGTTCTGCATCACCAGTTTTGGAACGTTGAGCCACATCAGTTTTATTATTATTATTATTATTATTATTATTATTATTATTATTATTATATTATTATTATTATTATATTATTATTATTATTATTATTATTATTATATTATTATTATTATATAACCCTATAGACAGGGCAGACGCGAAGTACCAGCTGGTTTTATTCTTTGCAAAAATCAAGCATGAGTACAACACGACAGCTTCATTGTTGTGGCTTGCAAACGTGGCCATTTGCCTCGGTGTCGCTCGAACACTGACCGCGGAATAACACTCACAGGTGAACCCGTGTCTACCAACATCGTGAGCGGCACTCCGTTCCAACTTATCTGGCGCAAAATAGGCTTTACGTGCGCGCGGTCCGTCACTTGATGCGAAGTCAGCGTGTATAAAGCTTCGCAGTCATCCGAACTCTCTTGTGGGTCTTGCGAAAGGGCGTTCGCTTGCTGCCTCCGATTAGTGTCTTCGTCCGACGCTTTACACACTCGTGCCAAGTGGCCGCGTTTCCTGCATCGATGGCACACTGTTCGGAGATGACGACAATCATCCGGTTGGCGCGAGGATGCACCACAGCGGGTGCAAGGCCGATGCTCATCGCGAGATAGCCCACTTGCTTTCTTCGACTTCGAA